GGCTAAGAACAAGTTGTGCTCGCAGGTCACAGTGGGTAGTTGCAATTGAGACACGATGAGACTGCTATAGCCGTTGAACCACTCGCCACGGGTTTGTTGCAGCAAGGTTCCTCCCTCCCACCATCTGTTGTATGCTATCCGACTCCTGAAATTCCTTGGCAAAGGCAGCTGCAACAGCTTCAAGGCCTGCAAGGCAATGTTCCCCTTCTGTCTCCAATGGTCCGTGTCCCAAACATGGAGCCGCCCAATCCTGGTCGTAGGACCTGTGTTTAGTTTGTAAAGTGGGACCCAAGGTCCGACCTCAGCACTGAAGATGCAAGAAAGGATCAGCACGAAGAACATGCAACTGCCTCAGTCGCACTCAGGATGTCAGCATCCAAGGTCACGTCTTCCCGAACGAATCACCATAGCTTGCAAGCATCCAAGGGTGAATGTTATTTTCAGGAGCAGTAGGAGACAGGAACCGATGGACTTGAGTATGTTTGTTGTGTCATGTTGTGTGCTTGTACTGAAAAATCGGTGGGCTGCATGGCTCGCCGTCAAGTCATGATAGCGTTGTGTAGTGCCCTGAACTCAAAATTTGGGGGAGACTAGCATTCGGATATTACATGAGCCCTCTGAAGAGGCCAGGTTCGCATGAGTCCCCAACATGTTCTCAATTGCAAGACTGCAAGTGGATGGAGGGGTGACATGGGCATCCGTCTGTGGCTGCACATAGAAGAACGTACCATGTTCCTCGCCAAATCATGAGTTGTCCAGCTAGGACTAGAACCAAGCATCTCTCAGCTAGGACTGGGACCAAAGTAGGACTACTGGGACTGAGACTCCACTAGGGCTAGAACCAAGAATCTCGCAACTGGGACTAGGACCAAAGTAGGACTAGGACCAAGAAGCCCAACTAGGACTACGACCAAACTAGGACTAGAACCAAGGATCTCTCAACTACCAAACCAAGGATCTCTCAACGAGGACAAGGACCAACCTAGATTATTTAACTCTAATTCTTGCAATAATTGAATGTCTAGTACGACTTCCTCCATAGTTTCAAGTTTCCTTCACAATTTCTATTTGATTCAGTACTACATACCAAGTTATAAAACAACTCATTCTTAAGGGTCGAAGCCGCTACCTGTGAAGTCCCTGTGATGGAGTCCGGAAGTGGTGCTGGAAGGGTGGATTTGTCTGGGCACACCACCCAACCCTAAACCCTAAGACTAGGAACTGGAAACTGGGGCTGAAGATTCTCAACTAGGACTAGGACAAAATTATGACTAGAACCAAGGATCTATTAATTGGGACTAGGACCAAATGAACCGAATGAAATCGAAAAAAATGTCATCCCACTACGACTAGAACCAAGGATCTCTCAACTGGGACTAGGACCAACCTAGCATTGGAATCAAGGATCTATCAACTGGAACGAGGACCAACTAAGACTAAAAACAAGCAACTCTCAACTGGGACTAGGGCCAAATAGGACTAGAGCCAAGGATATCTCTCAACTAGACTAAGACTAAACCCCGAATAAAACTGAATGAAAGCGAATGAAGTTTCATTTAGGCCTGGATTCAAGATTGAAGATTCAAGATTCCCTGGAAAAGTGTTCTCTGGAATCTTGGCTCTTGAATCTTTGAATTTTGAATCCGGGCCCTGAATGAAACTGAAGTCATTTTCATTCAGTTTCATTGGAGATTGGTTGACGTGTGATGGCCAAGTTAATTCCTGATGGAACGATGTTCATTCAGAAACGGTAGGTCCTTGGGGGGGTATCATACATATATATATATATATATACACATACATTGTGCAATGAGTATTATATATATAATATACAAATGTATTGTTTGGAATGTATAATACATATATATATATATATATCATGTATACGCGTATCCATGTACACCATGCATCCAAGACGCTGAAAACACCAAGAATACTCCAGGCGGTATTAAGGCTCTCAGAATCCTGATGGGAACACATCTGCAACACATGCAGTCTTCAAATCTGAAGCTCTTGCGCATGGGAGTTGCTCAAGAGGTCTCATCGCCCGGGTCCTGCTTGTAGACTTCCAGCTCATGGAGCATTCCCAGAAGAAAAGTAATGGCCTGAGTACGGCAGTTGAGCACCGCCCGCTGAAAGGGAATGTGGCACTCGCGCAGAGCCCCGGACTGCGTTGGGAATGGCCATGACTATTGCCAACTGCAGAACCGATCCATAGTAGCCTTAGGCCGGCGTCACGCCTCCACGGCTTGCTCCAAGGTCCGTCAAAGAGGGAATGGTGTTGCTGGGACAGACCGGGAAAATCCGGCGGCCTTTGACTCGCCAAAGTGGGAGTCAAGCGGCTTCGCAAAATCGCCGTCTTGCAGACAAGACACCCCAAATGAGAGAGAACCCCCATTTGCCGCTCACATAGAATCGCATGGCTAGTTCCTTCAGAACTGCTGGGTCCCCGATGTGTTGGCTATCTGCTCACTTTTGCTGAAGAAAACAGCTGCTGGGCCTGGGCCCCAGAGTGGAAGGACATCATGTCCATCGTGCGTGATTTCACAGCGTGGTGAGTGGGGTGTGGATGTGCAATGCAAAGCCTGGCATCCACAGGCATGTTCTGTGCACAGAGTGCGTAATGTGCTTGCCTTGGCCTCTTGACTGATACTCACTCGGGACTGTGAAACTATTCTGCCTTCTTCAGGCTCGCCTTTCTGAGCCAAAAAATGCAGGTCAAAGCAATCGGCTGTTGATAGCTCCTTTGAAGTCTGTTGTGTACTGCTTGCAAAGGCAGCTGTGCAAAGTGTGACAGCATGCTCCATGCAAAGTGCCCACGGTCCACAGCCCCTGTCCGAGGCTCTTGCTGTTCGCAAGTCCTTGCAACGGACAGGCCGAACAACGGGGAGTATGATCTGACATGTCCTGCCGGAATGCTGGCAACTCGTCAATACTGACTAGTTGAGAAAAGGGTCTGCCCCATTTCAGGCATTTCTATCGAAAGTGATCAGGCCTACTGTTCTGTCACAGTCACAAGTCAGGGCAACATGATGACACGTGTCGCCTAGGACGGCACTTCGAATGGACCACATGAAGTCACTCTGTTGTCTTCCTTTGTGTTCCCTCCATTTCTTCTGAGCATCGAGCCTTGCTGAGCTGCTGGGAGACTTTGTTCAACTCCTGCTGCAGCAGCTGCTGCCTGGGGAATCAGGGGCTCCCACACCGGCTCTTGCTGCGATCCCATGACATATTGCTAAATCCGCTTGTCTGCAAGGGCGAGGCGCGTGGGAAGGGTGTCATCATCATCAACATCGTCGTCATCCTCCTCGTCATCGTCATCGTCATCGTCATCGTCATCGTCATCGTCATCGTCATCGTCATCGTCATCGTCATCGTCATCGTCATCGTCATCATCATCATCATCATCATCATCATCATCATCATCATCATCATCATCACGCTCGGCTCCATTGGCGATTCAAGGGATGCTACGATGATAGTGGTCAAGGCACCGCTGGAGACGCAGAGGATGTCGCGATGATAGTTGCGATGACGCGGATGATCGCCATCATCTTCCTCATTCATCATCACCGTTGTCCCGCTTCAGCTCCGCAATCTCGAAGCGCCCCACCGTGGCGCATCGGACAGGCGCAAAACGCCGATGTGTCTGTGTGTGTGTGTGTGTGTGTGTCTGTCTGTGTCCGTTTTTGGGAAGGAAGTCCCCAAACAAAGGAAAGAAACCCAACCACAAGCACATTCAGGACCGTCGCAAAAAAAGGAAGTCTTGTATGTTGGTTTGTGAGGTAGCCCTTGGGTCTGCGGATACTCGGGCTGCCTTTGGTTTTTATTGGGGGGGGACTTTCCTGTATTTTGGTCTCTGAGGTAGACCCCGGAGTCTGCGGATACTCGGGCTGCTGTTGGTAGTGGCTTGTGAGGTCCCCCCGAACACAAAAACAAAGAAGCCAGCAGTGGCCCGAGTATCCGCAGAGTTCGGGGTCTACCTCACACACCGACATACAGACGGTCCCCCAAAAACACAAAAGAGAGTATCCGCAGACCCCAAGGGCTACCTCACAATCCAACATACAAGACAGTCCCCCCGAACACAAAAACAAAGAAGCCAGCAGTGGCCCGAGTATCCGCAGAGTTCGGGGTCTACCTCACACACCAACATGCAGGAACGTCGAAAAAAAAGAGAAACAGATACCAGTGTACAGGCAAGTCCCCCAACAAAAAAAAGAACCAATACCAAAAGGCAGCCCGAATATCCGCAGACCCCGCAGTCTGCCTCAGAGGCCGACATACCGGAAAGTCCAAAGGAACGCTGCCCAAAAAGGAAACGAGAGCCTACCAAAGCCGGCCAAAGCATCCACAGATTCCGGGGTCTACCTCAAAGGCCAACATACAGGACAGTAACCTCGCGGGGGCGGCGGCACCGGGCGGCAGCCCTTAAATCCGGCCACCGGACGTGATCGGGCCGCAGGCCAAAGCCCGTTAGGGCTTACCTTCAGGTATAAGGCCGCGCGCCCCATGCCGCCGACCATGCGCGGACCATGACCAGAACATGCGCATACGTTTTATGCTGGGCCCTCCCTTATAAGGGGCGAAGGATTTGCGGATTGGTTTAGGCGATTTTTGTAGCATCTCCCCGCAGCATCCAAAAACGAGTCCAAAAACGAGTATTTTTGGGGGGTGCATAATACTGGACAACACCCCCAGCATTGCCAGCATCATCCCGGATGATGCGGATGATGCTATGCATGCTGGCGATGCGAAACAAGGGGCTGAAAGGAAACAGGAGTGACTGGAAGTGAACGAAATGCAAGTCAAAGGCATTGCACGAAAATGAAGAGGGCGCTTGAGAGAAACCAAGCTGCAGGAAAATGCAAGGACGAAAAGGGAAAGGAATGCGAATGAAGGAGTCTTCAAGGAAATGAAGGGAGCTGAAGCGGCAGTGAAGTGGAAGGAAGTGAAGGGACATGCCAGGAAACTTAGAGGGAAAGGAGATGAAAGAACGGGAAGGGGTGCCCGGTGGCCGGCTGTGTCGCGTCAGCGTGTAAATCCGGCTACGCCTCCTTGGGGTAGCATGTCGCCGCTAGGCAATTAGCCTGCTAGCTTTAGCTATAGGGGGTGCACCCTGGTGACGCCGACCCTCGCCACTTGGTCGTGATGCGCTGCCTAAATCCGGCACCTCTGCGTCACCAGCTCGGGCTTGCGGTGTTGCTTGATCGCGTATATGCAGGGTTTAGGCCATGTGGCTGACATCATCAGGGTCTGGGGTTGGGCCTGGGTGATGCTTCAGCGGGGCTTGGTCTGCATCATCAAGACTTCCTTCCAAAAAGCCTCTCAACCCAAAAAGCACTGTTTTCTAGAAGGTATCGGAGGGATATAAGCGAGGCTCATTTTCGCGCATTTTGGCGCCAAGCGCTGCCGGGCATGCCGGCGATGCTGGGTCCTCGCTCTACAAAAGACTGTTAAACACCGTCAAAAACTGCTGTGCTGAGCGGTGGGCTGTTGTTCTGTCCGGTTTGCTTTTGCTGTGGCTGGCTCGCGTGCTGCGCGGTCCTTTCTTTTTTTCGCGTCGGTGTTCGGGCCTTCTGGCGCGCGCGCGCGCGCGCGCGACCCCAGCCACAAAACGCTGCTATTTACGGTGTTTTTTTGCTTTTGCGTTTCCGGGCTGGCTTGCGGGCTGTTCTTTTTGGGCTGCTGTTTCTGCGGCCTCTGGCGCGCGCGCGCGCGACCCCATGTCATCCTTCTGGTTTGGGTCCCGGCCAGGGCCCAGAAAGCTGGCATCCCCGGCATCATCTGGGGTTGGGGTGGGCAACATGCATAACCTAACCAGCCATATCATAGCACAGGATACGTTTCTCATACAAAAAACACGACATGACATGGTATAACTTCAAAGAGGCGTAGCCGGCTAGAGGCCGCAGGCCCAGAAAATATCACCGCTTCGTGTTGGCGCATGGGAGGGGAGTGTTGCAAGGGACACTCTGTCAAGCTCTGGAGCTTCAGCGCTGTGAATCTTTTAGGTTACTCGGTGAATCCTGGGGCATGCAGAATCCAGGGGTCCAAGGGCCGCAGAAGTCTTCCTTCGGAACTCCAAGCAAGGCCCTACCGAGGCCGCCACAGACCCTTCCATTCCATCTCCGGTAGCTCATTGCTCATGCTCACAAGCTACCGGCCCAGGCTCGAGGAGTTTTTCTGTGGACTGCCCTGTGAAGCAGAGCATTCCGAGCCTACCCTCAATGACCTGAGATAGGTCCCGGCTGGGAGCACGGATCTACCAATGCACATTCAGGGCTTCTTCAATCCGCTCCCCTGCATCGTAGCATCCTTTACCTGCTGCCTTTGAGCCGTGCATTCCATGCGCATGCGGGAAAATCAGCAGCTTGGCTTTCCATGGCTTTGAACGTCTTCAAACAGAGCTGTTGTCCAAACAGAGTTGTTGGCAATCCATGCCTGACTGGCTCAAGCCACTTGGCTCGTTTCTCGACATCCTGCAACCCCGGCAATGTGGCGGGCACCGAAAAGATGCAAGTAGTCGCCGATGTAGCGAAAAATGTTCCTTTGTGGCAGCTCAGCATTGCAGCATAAGATGTGTCTGTCCGTGCGCGATCACAAGAGCTGGCTATCTGAACAAGAACATTCGCTCACTTCACCCTGGCCGGGTAGTCCAAGATGAAACAGTAGCTCACGCTACCCTTTTGCTGACTCTCAGGGCAGCACCAGGAATAGCTTCGAAGCCTCTCCCGATTGTAGAGCTTGCTCTGCGCGGGAAATACGGGACACGATTGCTCTGCACAGCTTTTGCACAACCTCATGCACACAGCACCGGATGCAAAATGCACACACACACACAAAGGTCTCTCCAAATTGGGACTGGGACACCCCCCTTCAGCACGCCAAACCAAAATGGATGGCTCCCAATGAGCTTCCCTTCGAGACCCCAAATAGGGTGCCCTGAAAATACGCAAGCAAACAGACCACCGGGGTCTGATTCCAACCCTTCAGTCACTCTTCCGCAGCGCGCCATCGCAGAAAAGTGCCCTGCCGCAGCCCTGGCAGGTTTCCGGAAGAGGTCCTTCTAGTTGCCTCTTGGGTAATTTTAAAGTATAGCTCCCTTTGTGCAGTTTTTCTTTTGATTAGTCGTCCGTATGCCCCCCTCTCCTCCCTTTTCCTTGCAGTTCCCTTCTTCACAACGTGTGAAAAAGGCTGTCCCGAGAGGACATCGGGGATGAACAAAGACCATGTCCCGTCATTTGGACCCCTCCCGCCCACAAGCACAGAACCTGACGGGTGATCCCAGTTGCAACATCATGGAACATGGTCTTCCGCACTAAACCCTCAGTTTCCGTGCCCAAGTGAATCAATGCTCGCCCCCATATAGACTCACATGCAAGTCGTCATGCCAAACTCATACCGAAATGCTAATGTGGAATTGAGCCAAACAATGGCTGACCGTTCTCCATAGGGCAAGGACGAACAGGCAACTCCAGCAATTGTACTTCGTGGTCCCATGGTTTTCTCAGCGATCCAAGCCACTGAAGACTTTAAGCTCCCACATTTAGCTCCCACATTGTAAACGCCCGATTTCCAGGGTTCTTTCGAGGAACGACCAGGATACGCCACGGTGCCAGTGTGCTTTCGCTGCAGGCTATGGGCTGGGCGTCTTCGCGGCCCCCCAATCAAATCCGCGACACCCCGCCCTCGCAAGCTGGGCTTCTTGTCCACCATCTCGGCCTCGGACTCTTCTGAAAGCCATTCAGAAATGAGATTGTTCTTTGAGGCACCCTTTGTGGGGCGGTTTACGAGAAAAACCAAAAGGACAAACACCAACTTGGGTCTGCCAAAGGACAGCCACTTTGGGGTCCGGCGCCCGGCACACATGGGCACACACCCAAATGGATTACGGACTGTCCTTCGCAAGCGACCGCCTAGTCACTGACCTGAGGAGCCATGCCGTGGTTGGCGGCACACCACCATCATTGTCTTCCATGGCAATCACCGCCCTGCACAGCGTGGGCTGTGAAGAATTGCAAAATTGAGTCATTCATGGATATCGGATGGACCCAACGTTTCGTGTGAGTCCCAACAACACCATCGGACATGGGTGTGTCTTGAAACCCCGAACCCCATGGTTTCCTTTAGTTTCCATTAAACAACCCAAAATTTTACCCTCCACAGCAGACACACCCACATTGTGTAGACAGTTGCCCACTCCCTTGCCGCTCTCGGCATGAAAAGGCAACACAGCAATGTGGGATTGCTGAGGAGAACATTGAGTCATTGAGTATCGTCACAGAGTCGCGCAAAAAAGCAGGAGGCAGGACAGGTTAGCCAAATTCATCGCTGGGAAGCAGGATCGCAAATGGCCCTTGCCTCTCTGAGCGCCCGTGCCTGCCAGGAGACTGCCTGACCTATATCTACTTTCCTTTGGGCCGGCGGCAGTCGGATACGATGGCTGGAGTATCCTTCTGGCCCTTGAGTGGCTGTCTGGCCTTTGTCCAACCCGCTGGATCTCAATGCGGCTGACGCACCCTATGGATCACCTTTTCAATCGACTTAAATCATTTTCCTCCTGCGCCGCCCTCGGTAGGCACTGCCATTGCGGATGGAACGGCTACTTTCAACGGCACCGCTTACATATTACATTCCATCCGCAAGCTTGTTTTATGCAAAGACCATACTATGCCCACTGCCTGCCCATGCGCGCGAAAGCTTTCACGCAAGAAGGACTGGCAACACCCACCTTTCTCATTCCCTCATTTCCCCCCTGTCCCTGCTCCTTAGGGTTCCATGGGCTCCTTTCGCCGACGCTGGCCGTGGCACGTGGCAGCCATGTCGCGCCACGTCACGCCCCCGTCTCCGCCTTGGACGAAACAGCGCTGGTGCCAGGCAGTCGGGGGCCGAGCTGTGCCTCCTTCGGGACAGATTGAACCTGACAAGTTGCCGCACGCAGGCACAAATGGGCACAAATTGGAGCAAACAACAGGTGCTCAAGACTTCATGGGCCTGAAGCTTGTTCCCGCAGAACTCCAATCCGTTCAGGGTGCGCTGGGCGCTCTCTGCAAGTACCTACAAATCAGAAGTTCACCAGAGCCGGAAATCATTCTGTGAACACGCAATACGCATCCTTGGCTTCTGGACACCTGATCCTTTGACCTGGCTGAGAAAGAACCATGGGCACAGGGTTCTGAATCTGCAGGAAAAAGCTGGCCGCCTGGCATTGAGATTCTCTTGACTATGTCCGAATGAAACCGCCCGGCCTTGCCAGTCTCCCAAACCTTCTGAACAGGCTCGCCGCCTTGCTCCTTATTGAAGTCCTGCGGCAAGCTTCGGACATTAGCTTAGGTGTCAGGCCCTGTCGCAGGAATTCTGCGTTGCTGACATCGATGGCACAAAGGGATGGCTGTGGCAAAAACACGGATACGCAAGCTGGTACAAAAGGAAGCTCAGGACGGCATTGTCCCATGAGTTTCCCCAGCTTTCGATGGGCACCACTCTTAAATACCCTTTACCCTCCCTCCTTCCCGCCCGCCACCCCTCTGGCCCCAATGGTGTTCCGACACGCCGAGGAACTGCTTGTCAAGCACCTGTAACGACTTGGAGATGACTGGGCCAGCAGCTGTCAGCCCGACACCGCTTGGCTAGTTGTACAGCCTTGCTTGCACTGCCCATTTCAAGCAGCTTCTCCTCCCCGAAGTGCAAGCAAATTATCTACAAATTCTTCCAATACATCCTTTATGAACGGATGCTCTTGGCAAACAGATTGGATGTCTGCAATGTCTGCATTTGAAAACACAACCGCATTATGCGAGGCGTCTGCCGCCACGGAAATTCCATGCTGCCTCAAATAGGCAACAATACCGCGCAAGCATGCCTGGATCCAGCCTCTCCTCCGAGCATTGATCTGTGTTTCTTGTGTGCGCAAACGCGGAGTTTCTGTCTTGGCCGCCAGAAATCCTTTCACAATGCTTGCTTTCCATGGCGAATCGCCAACAGCATCCTCGAAGCAATTGCAAACCCTGGGTGCCGCCAAATCAAAAATCGTGCACTGAAATCGTAAGATCTGCTGACACTCTTCAGATGAAAACCCATTTGTAGGAAGGAAGACCAAGTGGTGACCATCAAATATCAGATTGAGAATGCCCTCGGCCAAGTATATGTCGTTGCTTTCGGTCACCGGCCCCTCGTGACGGGAAAGCGCTTTTTCTAGCACTTCTCGTATCCACATGCGCTTGTTGCACAATTTGGGATTTGCTTTCGCCAGCACTGAGAGGACCTCATGAAGTTGGACGCCACAGTCGGGAAACGGCCCCAGATTATCACTGACACACTCAACGATGCGTTGCAGGCAAGACTCAAACATCCGAGCTGATGCTTTTGTTGCATGCCCACAGTGGCTGGCAGCAGCCAAAATGTTCATCAACTGAATGCACTTCCCATCTGGGTCACGGCAGTCGTCTTGCAAGGTGAGAAACGTCTCAGTGGAAGAACCAACCACGTCCAAGAGACCCTCTTTCGCAACCCGCACAAACCAGCTTGCCACTCCACTTTTCGCTGCTTCAGCGGAAGGGATGGAACAAATCATGCTGGCCAGCGTTGAGAGCCCTCCTTGGGGATTTCTTTGCTTCTTTTGTGTAAGACCTGTTAGCCAGTTTCTCGCAACTGCTTGCAGTGTCCGGCGTGCCGTCAAAAACCGCGCAAGAACTGCATCCTTCGTCCCAGCGGTGTCCTCCAGCAGCCCTGCGGCCTGCAAGCGGCTGAATATCATGGATAGAACGGAGCCCAAAAAGCATGGCGATGCGCACGCAAAGTCGTAGAAGACAAAGAAGGTGTCGCTAAACCGACCGTGTCGGCGCGTGGCTGCCATCTCAAGGATATCCAGTGGCGATGCTTTATGACCCTTGCGGAAGGGGCGATCGGCCAAATGGGTAGTTATCTGAATGTCCAGACCACCGTGCTGGACAAACAGCTTGCAGTAGAAGAAACCACGAGATTCCAACTCGGGGACTCGATCCGCGTACTCTGCGACAAGCCATTGTCCAAAGCCAGATCGCAGCACCTTGCTGGCAGACGACAGAAGCACTTGAGCCTGCTTGTCGCAGCAGCTGAGCACAAACCACTCAGCATCTTGAAGCCGATGTTCACGAGACGCCATGGTGCACAGGGCGCAGCATGCAAAGAGTTTATTTCCACATGTATGACTAGGCCCTGAAGGAAAACTTCAGGCTTCTGACTGCATAGTATGCGCCTGTCTCTAAAGACGTGGCTCATGATGCAATTGTCATGTTTTGGACAGAAAAAGCTTGAACTGCGCGTGGTCTTCTCAGTTTGATGCAGCCCGAAACCCTTAAACTTGACCTCCCACTGCTGAAATCCTCCTCACACAAATGTTTGCCCCTTTCGGAGAATGCGTCTTAGAGGTCCAATGTCGGCTTCCGTGTGTGCCGAAGGGAACTCACAACTCTTGTACCGCTGGTACGCGTTCCAATTGCTTTTTCATCAAGTTTAACGGCGAGGTTCCGAGGTATTACAAAATCTCAGGAGCAGTGGAACTTTTTGTGTCCAATCTCGATCCGCCAGCCGTATTTGTGACTGATGCCATCGGCCTTCGACTGTACCAACGGCTGCTCATGCCAAGGGGTGCCTAAAGGGGAAATCTTCACGACAGGGTGCTTCTCAAAGTAGTTGTCCCTCACACTGGTTGGTTGCCTTTTCCTTTCCCTTCAACTGCCCGCATCGTAGTATGGGTGTGCCTTGTTTGATGGCGCCCTTTTTGGTTTGTGATCAAGGGAAGCGAAAGGGAAAGCATTCAAGGATTTCTTGAGACAAAGCCGATGAAGTCTGCCAGGGCTCCTCAGCTCAGATCTGCTAACTATGGAGTCTGTGTGTGTGTGGCGGTTGGGGATGGAGTTGAGTAAGGTTGGGCTTGCGGCTGCTGTCGTGGCGAGGGCTAGGTTCAGTTGAGGGCAAACCTTCGCCCCAAGCCGAAAAACCAGCCAAACAGGAGCACTAGCACACACCAGCCGATGGCCAAACTAGCCCTAGGCCCGGCAACAGTCAGCCTGAAAAGTTAGGGAGGTGAGGCTACTCTTTTAGTCGTTTGGGGGCTATGCCAGTCAAAACAGAAAAATACCCAACATTTGAAACCCAACAGTATTGGAAACAAGCTCGAGTCTGGGCACTGATTCGGTCTGCCTTTTGCAGCAGTTGGTTGGCACGAAAAACAAGTGGGAACAAACACAACTGGTTCTTGAAATCGACCAACACAAACCAACCACCGGGGTGACGACAAAATACAATGAATCAACCACTCGAAATGGTTGGAATGAACCGTACGGGTGGGGCGTGTAGGGACTCCCCTCGGTCAACGATGTGCCTGCGGGAACGCAGCGGCAATTGTCCAAACAGCGCAAGAAAGTGGGCGGGAGGCAGAAAAACGCCAAGCGCTCGCAAGGTAAACACGCACACATGCCAAATTTGTCTTACCATCAAATATCACATCTTATCGT